TGTGTGTGTGTGTGTGTGTGTAGTATATATATATATATATATATATATATATATATATATATATATATATATATATATATATATATATATATATATATATATATATATATATATAGATATATATATGTATATGTATATGTATATGTTATATATATATATGAGAAATATGGTATATTTCAGAAATATGCCATACGTACGATGTACAAATTTACGGAAGTATATTATATAATATAGTAAATGAAAGAAAACGTTTATGCGATATTTTATATCAGCTATAACTCAGCTACTATACACATGTACAATTCTCTTAATATAGCTACAAACTACAGCCACTCTGCCTATATAATTATTCCAATATAACTACTAAATACAGTCAATATGCCTATATAAATCCTTCGATAGAACTGCAAAATACAGGCTATATGCCTATACAATTCCTATAATCCAGCAGTGAAATACTACATATTATATTTCGTATTGTACGCAAGGCATATTTCATAAATTTGGCATATTTCAGAAATATGGCATATTTCAGAAGTATGGCATATTTCAGAAGTATGGCATATTTCAGAAGTATGGCATATTTCAGAAATATGGCATATTTTAGAAATATGGCATATTTATAAAGAAAATGGCATTTGTTTAGAAATATGGCATATCTACGGCATATTTTTAAATATGGCATATTTCAATTTTTCTATACCAAATATTTCTATTTTTGCCATATTTCTGAAATCAACACACGGACTACTTATTTTTTCCAAATTCCATATCGTATTTCACATTTTATATTTAACGTTTTCAGTGCATATTTACTATTTTAAAATAATAATACTTTAACTTTTCGCCATATTTATTATCGAAAAATATGTGTTCTTCGGTCAGGTCGTGACTCTCCTGTGGCCCTGTTGTCTGTCAGTCTGACTCTGTGGGGTGTGGAGTTGTCGACTGTGACGGTGTTGGCCCCTGTCACCTGCAGCCTGCAGGGCCTTTCTACTAGTAATATGTAGCGAGTTACCGAACTTCTGAAGCAAATAGCAACCAGTTCAGACTCCAGTCTCACAGTCTGAGTGTCTGACAGTCCGCCACAGGCGGGGAACGTAAGGGTTGTGAATGATACCAAATAGAGATATTTATGTGAATTCTTTAGATCAAAGAGATTGAAAGGGAATAACCCGAATTCGGATTGAAAGGGAATAACCCGAATTCGTTTTGTTTTTGTTTATTAAAATAAATGCAGTTGCCGACCATAGCCTTCTAAATTCTAATAAACTTATGAACATGCCGAGTTTGCGGACAAAGACTCAAGGTCTAAATACATATGCCGACAAGTTTTGACAATAGTCCATACAATTGGTCAACAATTTATACAACAACTCAACAATGGAGTTATAGAAGTTAAGGAACGTATGGAGTAAAGGGGCCGACGCACGGATGACGGTATGTAAATTGTAATATGTATCACTTACGCGGTCACTGAGTCTGAGTCTCTCAGACTTCACACTTCACAGAATCAGTTAATCATAGTTGAAAGTTGTATTTAACAAACTCCTCCTGGACTCCTGGCCCCTGGGAATTGTGTGAAGAGGCGTGAGCGGTGAGACCTCTATTATTTAAAGGTTCTCTTATGGAGAGTGATTAGACTCTCTACTCTATACTAGAGACTCTAGTCTCTCTGTCTGAAGTGAGAAGTCCCTCTCTCTCTCTCTCTAGTAGTGTCTACTACTCTATTCCAGAGTAGGTAGTAGACTGTAGAGAGGTCAGACCGTCAGAGAGACTGAGAGGTCTGTGAGAGAGCGCCTCTAGTTTTCTGTTTTCCACTCTCCACAGTCCACACCTTTCGAATTACGAGCCTAAGGCCCTAAGCCCTAAGGCAAACAGTAACAATTTAGTTTTTATATATAAATATTACTGACAATACAGACAGTCGGCACCCGACAGTCCCCTTGTTTTTGTATCAATTTTTGTGGGTTTTTTTGGTTTATACACAACAGTGATTCAGTGAACAGTTGAGCACTGACAGGGAGTATTTACATATTAGAAACGTCTACAACTCTATATATGTATTTATACTTTTTTTTAAATAAAATAAATATATTTATCTACTGCTAAATTCATTTTAGGTGAACAAATACAATATCTGAATGCAATTATTTCTCTAGATATCTTGATTTGATTCATATACATACATATATATATATATATATACATACATATTTATATATATACT